GAGCAGGCAAGGGCAAACCACTTCTGAAAAACCTTGCCAAGAAAACTGCAGGGACTTGTCTAGGCAGTTGCCAGGAGTCAAATACTGATTCGAAGACACACACACACACACACACACACACAAATAACCAAGGTGTTCACCTGATTTCCTGCTTCAAATCAATTCTCTTCCCCTTAAGGATTCCCTGCAAGAAACTTGAATCTCTCAGGGTAGTTTCTGCTGTGTACCTCCAATGGCAAGAACTTACAGAAGAAAACTGGAGAATGGAACTCATGTGTACTACAATTTTAATTGTGGTGATCGGGATGTGCAGTAGAGTATGTGTTGTATACAAATCCATATTTTTCTTTACAGTAACATCAGAAGATCCTTGCAAAGCTTCTCTGAGTCTAGAGGACCTTATCTGCTACAGCTTCCAGGTGGCTCGGGGGATGGAGTTCCTGGCCTCCCGGAAAGTAAGGAATTTCTTTTAGGGAAATGACATTTGTCAGATGACAACATCCTTCAGGAAATAATTGTAATAAGGATGAGGCTTGGTGGAAGGAAACTGTAATGTTTGTGTCTAGAATTCATTCAAGAGTTCAGAGCATTCCTAAGCTTTAGCTATTAATATTCCTAAGTGCTTTGATAAAGATGTCAGCACTTGTGAATTCACCAACGACATTCAAGCACAAGTTGGAAGTTTTCTGCCCATTTCCTCTGCATATATAATGGATCATGTTCTAGTATTTATTTCATGAATGTACACATGCATGTGGGTATCTAGGAGTAAGCCCTACTGGTGTCAAGGGACTTATTTCTGAGGAAAATTGTTGTAATGTTCACACATTTATTAAGAACCCCACACTCAAGCTAATATGTAAGAATGCCTCTGCTTGGAGCAAGAGCTAATACCACAAGGCAGTTGGTGATAGATATCCCTGTGGGAAGCTAAAGGGAGATCTAATGTGGTACAGTGGTTAAGATGTTAAACTAGGATAGGGATTCTAATCTACCCTCAGCCACAGAGTGGTTGTTATGGAAAAAAAATAGGAGGAAGGATTTTTATTATGCCACCTTGAGCTTCTGAATTAAAAGCAGGAGATGAATCTAGCAAGCAAACAAAGGATATCCCAGCTGGAGACACCCAGAAATGGCCTCTATTAATGTATTTGGCTCCTTCTAGATTAGGTATAAGCAGCTTTTTTTAATGGGCCAAATTCCCTCATAGGTAGGCAGAACTAAAGCAAGGAGTGGATAGGGCCAGGGTCTGAACTCACTGAGGACTCCATTTCTCTCTCTGATATCCATCCTTTTATTTTGTTCACAACAGTCTTTTTCTTCTGACCTCTTCCTTTGTTCTTCTTGTAACACCTTCTTCTCTTTCTACCAAGCTTCAGAAAAAAGGGAACTCTTTCCAAAGATTTGACCAGGTCTCTTGCAAAGAGTTTTAAAGTTAGGCTGAGGTCAACATGAATTTAGACAAAGGGATCTTTGTATGTGATCTTAGGGCCACCTGTCATCCATATCTGCACTGTATCAGAGATACAAGACTACAGTCTGTTTGCCCTTATGAATCTTATCTGGACCTCTTTGGCAGCCACTGGAGCACCCCCAAGTTGGAGGAGGGAAGAAAATGTGTATTTTGTGGGTTAAGGGCAGATTTCCAGGGGCACTAGGGTTGCTTCCGATCTCTTCCTTTAAATGTTACAATCTAGTGGGACCTGGGCAGTGCACCTTCTTGGTAGCCACCCTGCCCTTTGGAATACCCTTCCCCCAATATCTGGCAGGTCCCTACCCTCCTAGCCTTCCGAAAAGCCTTAAAGACCTGGTTTTCCCACAAGCATTGAGGTAGTGTGAGGCTGGAACCCACAAAAGTTCCTTGGGGATGTGTGTGGGGTGCATTGTGGTGGGGGCACCAGGAGTATCTGTGTTGGTTTTTTATTTTTTTTATTTTTTTATTGTTGTTTATGAACTGCCCAGGATTATGTTGCATAAGATGGGTGGCTATATAATTTTTAAAAATAAATAAAATAAACATGACTTCCAAGTCTTGCAGAAGCTTAAGACACCCATTTCTTCCTTTCATAAATCTTCAAACCTGCCAAAACTCAAGCCTTCTTTGGGTTCCGCCTCTTGGACTGTGTCCCTTAGTATGCTGAGGCATAGTCCTTTTGCTGCTCATGCTCAAAATTACGCATAGAGAAGAATTTCCCATAAGGCTCTACCTTGTGAAGATTTGCTTGTTGGATAGCATTCAAAACCTTTCCATGGTTTGAATAGTTAAAACAAGCCTTCTCCCTGACATGTAACTTTTCTGTTTGCAAGGAATTAAAGGCATCAGATGACTTTTCCTTCATCTGTGCAATATTTTGAGAAATCTAAACCTCAGTAGAAACAATATGCGCAGACTGAAGACTTCTTCAGGAATTCTTAAACGAGGGAGGAGGAGAATGAATGTGTTAGCTCAACCTCATCTCCATTTATGTTTGGGGAACATTTGAAGCATGAAGCTTCTTCTGTTCAATGAGATTCTTCACAAAACAAAGAGCTATACTAGTTTGAAGTATAGAATCTGACTTGTCAAAGAATCTGCTGGACTAACTCATGGCTAAGCTCTTGTGTAACTTGTAAGATGGTGTGTAGTAGAATATTTTTATGTGGAGCATCCATGAGTGGAGGAAAAAAAGTCAAGATGATGGCCATGATAGAAGTTACAACTATTTTTTACACGTGTCACATGTGCGATGCATGTAAAAAAGAGGTGGTTAAATTCTCATTTGAATCCTTGGAAGGCAATATTTTACTATGAGTATGATGTCATGCAGAGCACATAGCTTTTAAGATAAGGTTAGCCAGATTTTCTGGAAGAATTCAGACAACGGATCTATTGTTTATCTTGCTTCAGTGTATACACCGAGATTTGGCTGCTCGCAATATCCTCTTATCGGAGAACAATGTGGTCAAAATCTGTGATTTTGGACTAGCTCGGGACATCTACAAAGATCCAGATTATGTCAGGAAAGGAGATGTAAGTTCAGTGTCTGAAATTTTGAGACATTTATTTGAAATTGATGCTAATCATGACATCGTAAGTACCTAATCCCACCTTTACTTCATTGATTTGCAAATATTCTGTAATCGGTTTACTGCAAGCTTTGAAGTTTTAACTTTTAAGTAAATTACTATGACAATAATTTCTTGTTATTGGTTGGTGGTATCTTGTATATAATATATTGTTTCTTAAATATTTAGGCTAGACTACCCCTTAAATGGATGGCCCCAGAAACCATTTTTGATCGTGTATATACAATTCAAAGTGATGTGTGGTCTTTTGGTGTATTGCTATGGGAGATATTTTCATTAGGTAAGTCAAATGTCTTTGCTGGCTAATTCTTCTCAAAATGTTAACATTAAAACTACCAGAATGCAATCATGTTTGTTTATTTTTAATGCAGTGTCATAACAGTAGTGTAGCTATTGAGGAAAGAATATAAATTCCTACTTCTCCACCAATGTAGAACAAGAAAGTGAATATTGAGTAGGCATTTAAGTATTTGGAATATTTTCATTTGTTGGTCCTTAATAAGACCCAAGTCCCTCAATAAGATCCAATTATGCCCATCAGTTTGATTCCTGTTCATAATACTGATCAAAAGTTCCATGAATTGTAATGGTCTGGAAGTTCTTGCCATTTAATTTTGGATGATTCCCCTCATCCCCCTACATCCCATTTATCTGGGTCTTCTGAAGCTGTTTCAGAAGATGGGGGAGAGAAGGCATCCGCTTTTGTTATATCAAAAAACCTTTCCTTCAATCCAATCCTTAGAAAATAAATTTATTAGACCTTGATAATAAATAATTATTGCACTTTTTATATGCTATTACAGTACTCACATATTTTGATTGGAAAATGTATAGCAAAACAATATCCAGACATTTTAAAAAAAATGAATGTTGTCCCATTAGATATCTCTGCTGGAGATAGCATATTTCAGCCTTGCGGTATCTATATGCTTTTCGACCAGAGATCCATTAGAGTTGTATGCAAAAGACATGCATTTCAAAATGGAAAAATTCTGAACATCAGAGTATGTTTGAATTCCAGAATGGACTTGATCTCCAAGTCCTTCCAAATGTTTGTTTTTCCCATTATTAAACTATTAGAAGACTTGACATTCTTGCTGACCTTCTCCAAAAGACCCAAAGGTTTACCTGAAGATCCCGATCTATCTTCCACCCACCTTTGGTTAAAGTGATGTCTTAAATTTGTAGCTTTTTTTCATATTGGAGAAATGTAGGTAAGCAGAACAATGAGACCAGAATTTTTAGCAACTTTCTAAAAGGAAATCTATTATTTTAGGGGCCTCACCATACCCAGGTGTAAAAATTGATGAAGACTTCTGTCGAAGACTGAAAGAAGGAACAAGGATGAGGCCACCAGATTATACAACACCTGAAATGTAAGAAATTTATCTGCTGCAAACAGGTTTTATAGCAGAAGTTCATTCATTCATTTTGTTCCATTCTGTTTCATTTAGGAATGCTCCAATAAAAAAAAAAATCACATTCATTAGTTGGCCAATGGGGCTTTGATATTAATGGGATAGAAGAGGAAAGACAAAAGGCAGATCTATTTTTTCCTGTTGTTCCTTTATTTCTTGTAACAATAGCCATCAATAATTAGCTGAATACGTTTAATTCTGGGGCATATTTATTTATAGTAGATTTAATTCTCCAGGTACCAGACGATGTTGGACTGCTGGCATGGGGAACCCAGACAAAGACCCACCTTTTCAGATTTGGTGGAACGCTTAGGAAATGTACTGCAAGCAAATGTTCACAAGGTAGAGGAGTGTTCAACTCCCTGAATATTTTTTGACCCACTCCAGCCATGAATACTGAAAAGTAAACCTATTTCTGTCTGCCTTTCACACCAGGATGGTAAAGACTATGTTGTCCTTCCCCAAATTATGTTGCTCCATATTGAAGAGGATTCTGGACTCTCCCTGCCAACTTCACCTGTTTCCTGCAAGGAAGAAGAGGAAGTATGTGATTCTCAGTTCCATTATGACAGCACGTCACAAACAAGGTTCGTAATAGTTGGAGCATTCCACTGGGAGTGCTCAACAACCCCTTCCCAGGATACTTGATAACAGGGTGATGAGAAAGGCATTTGTGTTGCTCATTATTTCTGTGCAACCTAGTGTGCTAAGTGGTAACAGTTTGTGCCCAACCCAAGGGGTGAGGTGACTAATGGATAAGTAAACAATAGATGATTGATTGTGTACAATCTCATTTAACTTCCCAGAAATGCTATCACACTCCATCTAACAGAGACACTGCTGCTACAAGGGCCATGTTCTTTCCACACATTGGGGGAGCTGATGAACTTGTAACAAGGGATACACCACCCTCACATTACCACAAACACAATGATCCACTCCATTGTTGCCATTTCTCAGGCAGGGGTTCAAAACCTCTGATACTCTCACAGCCCCTGTTTGATGAATGCAACATCCATACAAAAGGGAGGAAGGCCATTCTACACTCACCCATAGTGCCCTAGGCAGGCTATCTAAAGGAAGCACATATGTGACCTCTCCCCAGGAAATGGGTTCAGGACTATCCCTGGGAGAAAGAAACTGGCCAAACAGCCGGAAGGGTGGATTATCTAGGAAATGCAAGAAGCAGCCTTCAGGGACAGAATAGGGGTTGCTACATGTAGCCATAATCCTGATACTGTGGCCCCTGAAGTGGATTTTTGGGGGGGGGAGGGGATAACTCTTGGAGCCTCTGAAGTTTATCCAAGTTTCAAGTGCCCCAAAATTGGTAGCATGGTTTTTGGCATTTTTTCATTGGAAAATTCATCAAAAACAAAAACAAAACAAAACCTGATTGCATAATTCTGATAATACATGCACACATGCACACACACAGAGCCACAAAATAACCTTCAAAGCCTAGGGAAAAATGGGAGACTCCATTCCTAGGATAACGGTCTTATCCTGTTTGGCTCTTTTCTTTTTATTACTGCCCTATTCGTTTCACCCATCTGCCTCTCCTAAAAAATTGGGTGCAGCTATTAGTTATCCAAAAGTTGCTCCTTTCAGACCTAGGTGTTGTGGGACAAGAAAGGCTCACCAAGAGAAAGAGTCAGCTGGAATAGTGTTTATGGGAATCCTCATGATTATCTAACTGCACTCTTAGCACCTTGGCAAAACAGGGCCATTTTTTAAGTCGAAAGAAGTTGTAAAACCCTCAAATCTAGCTGATAATAAAGTTGACAGAACACTGAAGGGGTGGGTCCTCCCTTTGCAGCCCTCTTGCTAGTTTTGCTTTCCAAGCCACATTTTCCTGTTATTTTGTAACCGTAAAAGGAGAAAGCCGATGCTATCCAGTCAGTTACCTTTTCAGTAGGCTCTTGGGCTATGCTTTTCTTTTAAACAGTCAGGAAGGAAACAGCTGCCAGATGTGTCATTATTAATCCATTTCTAAAGCCCCTCAAAGTATCTGGCACTAAAGAGCCTACCAAGAGGCTTAATGGAGTGTGGGAACCTTCTTTGCTTTTGATTGCAGGTCTTTCTCCAGAGGCCACCATAGCCTCATCCTAACCCTTTTCTTTGGATGTTCTCCCTGTTGTGGATTCTCTCTCCAAGAAAAGTTTCCCTCAGATTCCACCTAGTCTGCCAGAGACAGGCCCTGAATCAGGTTACGTCTCAGTGTAATTTCCAGCCCATTAACTTTTCTCCCATTGGTAAGGAGCTTTGGAGCCCCCCATCATGAAAATATGGCATGTGGGTTGTCACAGGATTAAGAACATTTCCAGCTCATCTGATTTTCTTTGGAGAAAAGCCTTTGGAGAAAGGGGGAGTTGTGAAACATGCAGGGCCAAATCCAGCAGGGGGTAGTTGGCGGCTGCTGCCTCCAGTCCAGATCAAAAGGTTGATGGAATTGATCCAACCTCCTTTGTTGACTGTTTTGAAAGAGATGTTTGCAGTATTAAAAATGTAAAATTATAGAAAATGGAACAATATGCTTAACTTGTTTCCTTTCTTCAAAAGCAAAAAGTGCTCTCTTCATCATCTTTAGAATTATGTAGCTACAGAAGAACAAGGACTGTGTGTCAGGATTGGTTACGACTTTCCTCCTGATTGCATTAGAATATGCAAGTGGGAAATGAGTAATTTGAATTCATTACCCTAAACAGAAGCCTCCACTGAACCCCTAATATTTGATTGGACATGTAACACTGTGGGTCTCTCTTCACTGCAGACAATATGGTTAAACCAGTCACCAAAACCACAATCTAATCCAGAAATTTTGGATTGGATTTTCCACATGAAATTCATGTAGATTTTGAACTCAAAAAAAGACACACATGCACACAAATACACACCTGTACAAACCATTCTTGTAAACCAATACAGGTTGCAGAATCCGTATAGCATCTAGGTGCATCAAGGAGTTGACTGAGTCCACAGGAAGTACCCATTTCTTCTGGTTAAAATAAAATCGTAACCACATGAGATTTTGGCAATTTTTCAATGATACCTGGGGCCAAAACTAATGATGACCACAGCTTGGTGGGATGCTAGTTGTACAAGCCTGCTGTTGAATAATAATTGCAAAAGGCAAACAGAGTTTTGAATATCCAGTCTTACTAGCTTTGGCACACTAACAAGGCGATCCATTTCTTTTCTAGTAAGCATTGCACAGGGAGTAAAAGAAACAGCCGCCCTGTGAGTGTCAAAACCTTTGAATCTGTGCCCATAGAACCAACCATAAAAGTGGTTCAAGACGTAAGTCCATTTTACATCTTCTTATTGTTTGGTCTGTCATTCTGTGTGTGTGTGTGTTTCCACTGATCGACCAAACTGAAACCTTTTTTTCTGGTTTTTTTCAGGAAAATCAGACAGACAGTGGGATGATTCTTGCATCTGAAGAACTAAAAGTGTTAGAAGAGAAATCTAAACAACTGATATTGCCCTTCAGGTAAATCTGCAGAAACAACCATTATGTCCACTTTGTTAAAAAAAATCAAGATGGCTTAGAATAAAATTGACCACTTGAAAGGAAAAAGCTAGAGTTATCTACCTCTCTTTTGGATTTATTCTTCTTACCCAGTAATGTTATCCTTCTATCAGTGGCACCACACTCTTGGGCTTTGCTGTGAGATGGTGAGAAGTGAAAGAAAGGAGCATGTCTGTGCACAGTGCCACAAGCTAAGCCTGAAATTGTCCATCAGCATTTTGACTTCCTGAGGTTCCAATGTCACTTTGGGAATCACAGGTCCAATTAAATCCTATTCTGACATCCTCATTGACTCCAGCTACCCTCTCTTGGCTGAGTTTCCTCCTCCTCTTTTCACTGTGGGTGAAGTTCCATCAGTTAAACTGATGATGACCAGCAACTATGTGGGTATCAGGCTAGCTTAATAAAGTACATGCTGCCTTTGTTATCATACGTCAGACAGAAGTTTGGAAGCTCTGCAGACTGCACGGTCCCATGCCTGCACCAATGTCTGGCCCTAATGGGACTGCTGAGTTTAAAAGAAAACAGTTCAGGACTCCAGGGTAGCTGGTATCTCAGCAGACTAGTAGAGTAGGCTCAGCTTCCCCTCTCTCTCTCTGTAGCAGTTTAATAGAATAGTTGCTGCTAGATGGCAGTTCAGGAGAGGAGAAGTCACTGACATGGGACTTGTTTCTCCATCTCTGCCTGTGTTTCAGCCATATGGAATGGTCCTCCATGTTTATTGGCCAAGGCGAACTCCCGTATTGTTAGCCCTTTGAGGTAGTCCAGACAAGAAGCACAGCTATGCGTACTAACTCTATCTTTATTGCAAGGTTACATTAACAGAATCTTGCAAGTTCTGGAAGTATTTCTCCCCTCTTCTCCTTTTACTTCTGAAAATCTAGGGAGGGTCCCTTCTGAAATGCTTCCCACACCTCCTCTCCTTCTGTGGGCTGAGACATCTTTTACATGCTGGTTGTCCAGCTGTGGCTCTTCCTCCTGTCTCCCAAGGTCATTCCCACATACCATGACACATAGTCTGAATCCTGGTGCATAATTAGCCATTTTTATTTTTATTTTTCAGTGGGCTGGTTTCCAGTAAAAGCAATGAATCTGTTATGTCTGAAGCTTCAAATCCAACCAGTGGCTACCAGTCAGGCTATCATTCAGATGACATGGACACCACCATTTATCCTAGCGAAGAAACAGAACTCTTAACACTCAGAGACGATGCTTCTCAGACCTGCTACATTGCATATGGCCCTGCTATCTCTCTGAGCTCACAGTCTGTTTAAGGACCTCTCCAAAAATGGCAATGACTGGAACTTGTACCAAACATTGCCTTTTCCTGAAACCCATAGTATTTGTATCCAGAGCACAGGATGGAAGAAAAATATGAATTTTCCCACATCTTCTAAGATAAAAAGGAGACAAATTGCAATAAGGGATGTTGGAGGCAGTGTCAGTGTTGGAGAGAGCTTGAAGATATATCAGACGTTACTGAGAGTCATGCACAATGATGTCATCATCAGTTTGAATACAATAAGAACACTGTAAAATCTGCTAACGAATCATCTTTCTGTGCAGTTGCATGAAGATGGAAAAAGGTTCAGTCAGAATCCTTTGAATTTTGGGTTTGGTCAGCAGTGAAGTTTCAGCAGTGCGGTTGGTGGAACCTAAGACAGACTCTGACAGTACAGCCCCCTGCCTTTACTAAATTCTGTTTCACTTTTCCACTGAAGGAACCTTCAGTCTAAATCTTGCTGTTGGAAATAAGCCACTGAAAGCTGCTGAAGAGCACAGCAACTGTCTCCTTGTGAGAAGCTCTGTTTTGGTTACATAGCCCTTGATGTACTGTGAGTCTTTCAAAGGAGGCTTCCTACTGAAATGACTCTTACAGGTTTGATGAATCCTTAAAAAAATAGCGAAATGGTCCCGGAGTTTAACCACTATTCACCAAAGAATGTTGGTGAACTTTGCTTTATTTGATCAATGCTATATGGTTCTTAAGATACAGACCCATACTACTTCTTGGAAACAGCCACCTTGATAAAATAATTCATTGTAATGCAACCAAGCACGTTGTCTATAAAACTACTTGCATCACTGACATGTTTCATAACCAGCTGCTCAGAATATTCTGACGATCTTTCAAATGGAAAGATTTCACAACTTGGGTCACCAGAGTTCTAGCAATGTGCGATACACATTGAAAGACTTTACAAAAAGTATCATGAAGCTATTTTGATTAGAGTTGTTTTGGTTACTTTTATATTTTTCGTTCATGGTTTTGTATTGTGTTTAATATTTCAAGCATAGCAAATCCATGAATTAACAAAAATTTAAAAGGCGCAATACAGTATTTATAGTCTGACTATGTAGAAAGAATTGTAATATATTATGAAAATAAATAAATATATTATATAATGAAAGCGAAGTGGGACTTACTCTTTGAGTTCGCTGGATATTTGGCCCATAATTAAAAATGATGCTGAGCACAAGCTCTCAAATGAACGTTTTTGAATGTGGGTGATTTTATACATTAACTGATGTGCAAGTTCATCACTTCACAGCAATCTTACAGCAGTCATGTTCCCTACAGTCTGTCATGTGTACATTTCCAGTCTCCAGCATTTATATCCAATGGACCAATAAATAAATTCTGTGTCATTTCAAATGGTCTATATTATTACATTTTTATTAGAGATTTTTCCCCCAGCAATATGTTGGAAGCATTTCAGATCAGCAAAAGAATAATCTCACACCTGTTTTGGGGGGGAAAAAAACAAAACCCTGACCTTGTTTGCTTCTGGTTTGTTTTATTTTTTAACATCCAGGAACATGTCAGGAATCTATTGCTCTATTAGCACTACAGTTCTTTTCTTAGAAAAAACATCTGGCATTTCAAAATATATATTCGGTTGTAAGCATTCTTGGCAAAATGCCAGCTGGTCACATCTGTTTTAGCAGATGTTAGACTACACAATATTTTAATGATGACACAGTAAATGGAGATGATTTTTTTACACCTGCACACACACATACCCAGTATTTAATGTATATCTTTAGCTTTGGGGATTTGGATGTTGAGTTTGTTGTGGGAAATGTGTATCATCTCTCACAGCCCTGAACAAGTCTGCTTGGAAACAAGACCTATTAAGTATGCTTGTGACCTAAGTTCTATTTCACTTAATGCATACAGTACAATGGCAATTTTAGTCATTAAGAGATAGCCAAATGTATCAGTGGCCATGCATTCAGCTCAGATTTAAAGGTTTCACTTACTGTGCAAATGGTCAGCTCACATGATCTCTGCAAAGAAATAAAGCAGTAAAAAGAAACTTAAAAGTGACTGCTTTTCCTAGATCATGTAATCCCTAGGAACAAAATATTACTTAATGGATCCTGTGTCCAATTCAGAACTTTGCTGATTTCTTCTCCTGTATACACAACTGCTTGATCAGTACCCTGAATATTAGGTATTTGTAGAAGACCCTCTAGTAGAATCCCACTTTAGATTCCTTCCCCAACTTTTCACAGTTAAACAAACAAGGGTGTGCATTGAATTTGGCCAAGAGCTGAATGAAAAATTGCTACATTCATCTTGGGGATGGATTTTATGGCTCTTGGAGACAAAGCAGAATCCTCTCCAAAGCCACCAAAACAATATCTGGAGCTTCCTTGAAGCTTCTGACTCTTTTGGTCCTCTGTTGGGCTACAGAAAGGCTGTATGTCTTTCTCGCTCTCCTTACCATCCTAAGCATTAAGATACAACATACAGCACAGGATGAGGAAGAATTTCAAAAAAGTGGAAGGTCGTATGCCCATTTACATGCCCAATTGGTTAAAGATAACATATTATTCAAGTCCCCAGGATGCTGAGCTTTAGGCTAAATGTTGCTACTAAATGTGACTTAAATCCCACCCTCTCCAGCTTTTCAGACTGATTAAGTCCTGGAAAACGTCATTTGATGGTCATTTGGGGGAAGAGTAGGAGCCCTTTAACTTATGCTGCTGATAAGCATCTAAGAGAAGAAGTTGTTTAATGGGATTTGGGAAGCTTGTCCTTTGTTGCTCTAAAGCTGGGCTGTGTAAAGCATAAGCCACAGATGTAATTAGCTGTTCACCTTCTCAGGTTCATGAGGAGCTAAAGCATAAACTGCAGAGTATTCAGATTAACTTTAGTATAAACAAACAGCTTTTTTTGGCTGCCACACGGTACGCAATATCTGGAAGCTTCCACAAATGCCAGAATTAAAAGACCTTTAATTAACAATTTAAACTGAAAGCAGGTTTAGCATCCTAGCCCTATGAATCACTATTCTAAAACCACAGTCCTATTTTGTCTTTGAAACTATTGATGGATTGGGACTGCGTATCTGGGAAAGTTTCTTGGGATATATGAGCACAAGGAAGGGAGAGGGGAGGGAGGGAGGGAGGAAGGAAGGAAGGAAGGAAGGAAGGATCAGATGGAGTCCTGCCACTGTCCTGAAGCTGTGTGGGATAGGGTTAATTCAGAGAAGACCCAGACAGTTTCCATTCACACTCCATTTACCTTGAACCAGAGAGAGAGAAAGAGAGAGAGAGAGAGAGAGTTTGAGATGGACATCACAATGAGCAACCTTTCTCAGGCGTATGCCAGGCGCTTCCAGGTACCAAAATTCATTAAGTGAGCTGCTCCTTTCCCACTTATCAGACAAGTAATATGGACATTAAATAACCATGTTAGGCCAGTGGCAAGGGTGTGGGGGCTTCTGTCATCTTCACTGCTAAGCCAGATGCACCTATTCCTGGACTAGAGAATCATGGATGGGGTGACCCATGCACTGGTACCTTGACTGTTGTCTGCATCAGGCTGAATAGCCCATCTCTAAAGCCACAACATTTTGCTGTGGACACTTTAAGAAGCTGGGCCAACCTGAGACTCTTGGCTGCCCTTCCACATAATATCCCAAAATTAAATCAACCCATTTTGGCATCTGAGAGAGACAATGCTGCAAGTATCTTTCCTGATAAGTAAAAAGTCAATACTACATAATGGTAAAGTCTTTTTCAAATCAGGTGTGACTTCTGGTGACTTCAGAGACCTGTCCACATCTTATTCTTCACAAGAATAAGACAGTGGTTTTGCCATTGCCTTCTGCAGGGGTGGTGTTCCTTCAGCTGCCCAGTTTAGACTATACAGGCTTGGCATTCCGGAGTGGCCTTCCATCCACATCTTGCTTAGCTTCCACACCAAGTTAAAGCCAGCCAGGTGCTGCTATTTGTTGAGATGAACCTACGGGCACGGCTGGCCATTTAAGTTGGAAAGAGAGACGCACATTTCTTCCCTGTCAGCTGCATTGGAAGAATGGCAGAAGGCTCTCTCCCCGCACACATGAACTCAGGATGATTCCTACAACATCTACCTTAATGCTTGTTCTTTTTGATAAATACCCATTATATGACAATTCAAACTGTGAGGCACAAGCAGAATGGAGAAATACAGCCCTTAATTTGTAACAAAGATTATTTAATGAACTTTTGTTTCATGGCATAAAATGCAAGGTTATGTGTGAGCCTTCAGGAGATAATTGTACAATAACAGCTCTTTGGATGCATTTAAATGTTTAGTTTTAAATTACAGTCCCCAAGACTTCTTTACATTTTCTGATAAAACTATTAAAGTGGCAGTGGCTGTTAAGTGTCACAGCTTGGTTAAGTACCAAACCAGCATGCCATAAGCAGATAAAGCAAATGCAATTATCAACACAAAGACCAGTCATATTATTAAATCAATGGCCTTTTCAACCATATTCTCCCATTTATTTGGCTATTTCCTTGATGAAGGTAATTAGGTTTTATTAGCAATTTGCAATTCACATTAAGTTTATGGCTATTGCAGATAGCACCATAGTATAATAATGCTGATATTTCCACAATAAATATAACCTGCTTTTAATATGTAGATCAACTTCCCCTATCTTGTGTTTTCAAGTGGATTAGATTATGGCTCCCTTCATTTCCACTGACTGACTGGGGGTGATGAGAATTGTAGTCCTTCATACTGGCAAGCTCCCAGAATGGGAAGGGTGGCTGTGGGTTGGTGAAGAATCATTGATGCTCTGGAAGACAAAAATTGGTGGTGGAATTAAATGGTGAATGCCTCAAAATGTTGCAGAAGCCTTAAAAAATGGGGTCACCCCTACATGTGCTTTTCTTTTCTTTCTTTGTGACTCTTTGTTATTCTTCAATATCATATTGATTGACACGAGCTACAATATATGAAAAGTTCTCTGATTGCTTCCACTGCAATAAAAGCAACACTTGAGATGACAGAGGCCAGAAATGTGTTTGGCACATTATGACATACAATTTTAGGAGCATATATAAAATGCCTCTTGAAAAGGGCACAGTGTGAATTATATAAATTATGGAATAGGCAACTAGTGGGAAAGAGACTTTTTAACATCATTGCCCTAAATTTAATAAGCTGATGAAACTATTTCCCATCTTTTCGAACAGGGGAAGAAAGTTACAAGAAAAAAAAAAAGGGTTGGTTGATGGCTGATTCCCCCCTTCGTTTCATGTTTCAGGATAAGCAAGGAAGTCAAGGTGGCAAAAAAGGTGGGACCTCCAGCATAATGGTCCTGCTTTTTAATCCCTAATCCCAGGACAGATGCTGGTAAAATATTTGGTATTGGGGATTTAATCCTGGATGAAAGCACTGACCTGGTTAGATTACAGAGACTTTTTATTTATTTACTTATACGTCACATTTATTTAGCCACCCATCTGACACAAAGTGACTCTGGGAGGCCTACAACAATTACATAAAATAACAAGTGGATAAAAACAAGCATTATAAAAAGATAAAGGTTATTATTAAGATAAAAACATTATCACATTAAAAAAAATTAAATATGCAAACCCCATGGAGAGAGCAGAATATCAGTTACAGTGGAGCCATCTAAGAATGTCTTCGGTTCCCAAAGACTCCCAGGCCTGAGGCCACTACTAGATCTGGAGGGACTTCCTAAATGACAGCAGGGGAGGGGCAAGCCTCACTTCAGGGGGGAGAATGTTCCACAGCGGGGGAGCCACGGCAGAGAAGGGCCGCCTCCTGGGACCCACCAAATGTAGATCCCTGGCTGATGGAACGTGTAGCTTACCTTCCCTGCCAGATCTAATGGGACAGGATGGTGTAATCATGGAGAGACAAGTTTCAAATAAACTTGAAACAAATAATTTCTCAAATAAACCTTGGCTGACAGAAGAAAGAGAAGTAATTTTCTCTGAGTTCTATCATCTGAGTAGTCTGTGATGCAGCAGCTTAGGCTGGAGGGTGCAGAGGTCTACAGGACTACATCCTACTGTATAGGATTATAAAGTCATTTA